AAATGAGAAAGGAATATGATAATGACGAGTATAGATAGTTCGGAGGTACACTGGGAGTGTGAAAGATGAAGAAGACTGAGAAGTCTTGGAGAAACGAGGGTGATAGATGCTCCTCTATATTCTTGACCATGCTTTTGTTAAAAGGGGCTGGGTAGGCACACGTTGTATTTTTGTAGCTGCGACTATCCAATGACTATCTATGCTAAGGGAGACCTCAAAGAATCCCAGGGGCAGTGAAAGTGAAATGAGAACCCTGAGTATTAAGAGAGAGATGAAAAGTAATAAGCCAAACAGTTAGAGATTATTGCATGTATATGAGTATAACTTTATAACATGATTGATTGTTGTATGATCTTTGTTTTACTATGTGACAAATTGTGAATATATACTTGGTAATATGAATAGAGACTCATCCTTACGTAAACCTTTCAGGGAATCCAGATGACAGCACCACTCGAGAACATTAGATTAGTAGATGGTTCTGTAACAAATAGGTTGAACTATATATTTAATGAGTATCAGAGACTTAGTTTCTTTAAAATTATTGTATGTGATAGTGAGGTACCTAGTGAGATGGTTATAATGGAAATGGAACTTGCCTTTAGTGTTCCTTTTGATTTCCTTGTACATAGAATCCATCATACTCTTTGCATATATATCTTCCTTGGTACTGTGAGGACTCCAACAGCAGTGACTTATCTGGTTACATATCATGACCATGATCACTTCGGGAGACCATCGCGATGGACATTCGAGCGGATCACAGGTACCCAGGTCACTGCAGATTCGGGTGATTTGTATCTTGGCTCGGATGACGATTTGGATGCAGAAGACATAGCGATGATAGAGGGTTGGCACAGGGATAGTGCCACTTGGTCATGTGATGAATAAATTGCTCATTAGGACCTATATTATTTTGAATAGATAGTCCTAATGTATTTTGGTAACTTTTATGAATATTTGTAATTATTGATATATTTCTATATATTATAAGAACACTGAAGGACTAAGATATTTTGATGTTTTTCTTAAATTGGTTTAATCATTATGATTTTATTATTCAAGCTCTTGTAATTGTTTAAAAATAATAATAAATTAAAAAATATTTAAATAAAAAAATTGAACAGAATATACAATTAATATATTGTCATATTTAACCATTAATATAATTTAACTTATTTTACATTTTATTCCAAATTTATACCCTTATCATGGTAATTAAAAATTAAGGATGTTACAGATTCTATTTCTCTTGTATCATTTATGATTCTTATATGTCTCATAGTGTATTTTGTAATTTTAGGCTTTTACCTTCTTGTATAGTTGACCCAGCCCAATAGCTAGTGTAGCTCATTGCTTATATAAGACATTTTCTTTTTGTATTTTGGTAACTTTTGTTCATTTTTCAAATTTTATGGAATTTAGATACAAAAATTGAGTTTTACTTCTTACATGTGAATCCTTCTATTATAGTAAAGATCATGTGGCTTATCTCCCTTTGAGAGTGACGCCAATTTCCATTTTATTCTTCTTCCACTTTTTATTTAAATTTTCTTGTCCGATTGCATTCTTCTTCAAAGAAGCAAGGACTGGTGATTGAAGTTACTCTAGGAACAATTTGCACATTCCTATACCAAAGATCACTTCAACACTTTAATGTAACTATAACTCTATGCTTTTAAATCTACAATTCCTTTCAAATTACTATCCAAAACATACAAGCTTGGTCATCTTTAAATTATTTTAGTGACCAAATTATATATATATTTATATTTTTTTTTTCTAAAATAATGACAGATAGTGATTGGATCTCATCATATCATCCTAAATTCTTAATTTTATTATAAGTAAAAGAGAATAAATAAGATAAATACTAAATGATTAATTTTGTAGATAAAATGCTTATGTTTTCTATTTCTTTATTTATATGCCTATACAAGCAAATATTTTTTTGTCAAAAATTGTTAACATTTCATAATCATCAAATTTTGAACTAAAGTAAAACAAAGAAAATCAAGGGCAAGCATACTCTTAATCTTCAAATTGATGATGGGAAATTGTTTGAAAAATGTAAAATAAAAATTTCAGCATGATGCTGCATACAACTAATAAAATTGCCACTGTACTGTACAAGAGAATTGCATGTACAAGGAAAAAATGTCTATACATCAAAATGGAAGAAAAACAATTACTATACTGTACTTGAAAGATACAATGGCAAAAATAATCTAAAAATGACTTCAACCAAGATGTGCATTATTTGAAACCAGGCAAAAATGTTGTTTGAGCTATTCCCATTTTCAACGACCATCTGAATGTTAATCCGATTAATGGCTGTATTCTTCACTAAATCAACCACTCTAATATTTGGATACACAGATAATTTAATTTTTAATTTTTAATTTTAAACAAATTTGCTAAGAACATAATGCAATTCAGTACTTGCATAAAACATAAAACATAAAACACAAAAACAAAGTAAAATTCAATACGAGATTTCTTTCAATGAAATGTTCTGTTCTTGCAAACAGTTTGGTTAATTCTAAACTATGCCACTGTAGACTAGATCACCCTTCTAAGAATGTCTTACAACTAGTTACTGAACAGTTTCATATGTTAAAATTATTTTTTGAATTTATTTGTGATTTATGCTACTTAGCTAAGCAAGTAAAATTACCTTCCCAAAATTGTAATTCCATTACTAATGAATTATTTGAACTTGTAGATATAAATATTTAGGATCCACCCGTTGTAACTTCTGTGCATGAAAACAAATATTTTTAATTTACCGTTGAAATTATAAATTTAATTGAATTTTATTCACTAGTTTAGAAACAATTTAGTAAGAAAATAAAAATTATGATGATGAATTTTTCAATGTTTTTCTAGGCTGAGTATGATATTATTGACGAAAACACAAACACCCATTGAATGTCAACAGGAGTTGGATTTTTTACTCCATTTTTCCAAGTAAATTTGGTGCCAATTCACCTAATTAACAATTTACATACACCAATTTTGAGAGTATGGGACACCTCCAGTTTTTACAACTTTAAAAATACCTTATTAAATAAATATTTAATTAAACATAACTCCTGAATATATTCATAGTAAACGAAGAATGTTGTTATTTGTACGCGTAAACCAATAATAAAATGCATGCCATTCAAATAAAAACATAATTGAAATGTGATGAAATGATTTATGTGTAACAAATGATGATTTATAAATAAGTAAAATTAATTTAAAACTTAATTTGGATTAACTTATTAATAGTTATTTACAAAAAATAAAAAATTAAATAAATAATTTTATCTAAATTAAATTATTATTTTTTTTAAATTCAATTTCACATATGGCTTCTTATAAGTTCAAGTTATGTTTGGTAAAGATAGTTTGTAACTTATTTACGTATTTTTAACTCATTGGCTTAATCAATAAACTAAGAAAATTATTTGGTAAATACAAAATAAAAGGAGCTTATAATTTTTGAAAATTAACTTTTCAAAAGTTATCTAGAAAAATTTTAAATTTTTAAAAGCTAGCTATTAATAATTTTTATTACATTTTTATTCTTCATTTTTTTTAGAAAGATAACTCATCGTTCACACAATTAAAATTTAGTATATTAATTTTATTATTGTTGTTCTTTTCATCTTTAAGGTATTTTTTTTATCTTTTTATTATTAATAATATATTTTGTTATACAAAAATTAATTAATTAAATAAATAATACTTTAAAAATTAAAAAATAAATTATAAAAATAAATCATTTAAATCAATTCATGTATCCTTTATTGATATGATATGTTAAAATTAATGATTTTAAAAATAAATTCAAATTATTATATAAAATTGATAACATTATAATCCTTTTAAGTTATTTAACATAAATTAATTAACTCTATAATTAATTTGTCAAACAAATTTAATATTATAAATTATTTATATAATTATAAACTTTTATCTACAAGTTCACAACTAAAAGTTATAAACTTATATCAACTATCAGTTCATTTTACTAAAATTAACTTTAACCTTAATGTATGGACTTGTTTGACAAGTTACAAGTTTAAGATGGTTAAATGTTAATAACAAGTAGTCCACCAACAATAACATGTATCATGAAACTAGGACAACAATATTAAAATAAAAAAGAAAGACTTTAATTTTAAAAAAATAATAATTAATTTTTTATTTGAAATTTTGATGACAATCTATTAAAATTAATGAAAGGGGTATATCACTATTTTTTTAAATTCTTTAGTGTATTTTAATATGATTTTCTATAAGTATTTATTATTATTAATTTTTTAACTACATCACATTATTTATTATAATTGTTAGCAGAGATTAAATAAATTGTTAATATTAAATGTCAAACTTAAATAAATATATCATTTAATAATTTTTTATAAAATATAAAATTGACTATTTTAATCGTTAGTTTGAAATTTTTTATCAAATAAACTAATATTATAAAATGTTATATAAAATAAAATTGATAAATAATTTATTAAATTTATAAATTTATTTATGAAGTATTTATCAACTTTATTTTTATAAAATTAATATTTAAATTATTAATCGATTGATGAATTTTATAACTTATAAAATGTTTCGTCTCACATTTTTAACAAAATTATTAATCGAAGAGTAAGGCATAGTAATGAGTATAGGAATGGGCAAAAGATTTTGTAAATGAAAAAGGTGACACGTTCTGCGTGGACACGAATGAATCATGTGAATTGTGATGTCCCTATTTTTTCTATTGCCAAGTATCCAACATCATAAAAAATTGCAATAATAACGTAGAAAATACTATACATTGTCACTATTTTTTTATACGTAAAAGTGAGACTGGGTTGATATCTGATCGTTTTCACAGCAACCAAGCTAAAGAAAGTAACCTTTTTCTGTTTGGTTGCAAATTAAAACAAAAACCAACTCATTATTATACTTCTTTCATTTACTTATTCTTTTTTCAGTTTCACGGAAATGGATCATTAACAACGTTACCCAAAATCTTTTTAGAACTTCGTTATCTGAATCTTCATCACCACATTCATAATTTTCCATTGAGATCCCTCGTTTTCCTTATTCAACCACAAGTTTCGTTTATCTTCTTATCACGTTCCCGAGAAAGTTTGGAACAATGTTGAGAATTTGAGATAAGGTTCGAATAGAAAATTCTTATTATTTTTATTATTCTCCACTCTTTTTGTGATAAACAATTTGATTTCTCTTTAGCTTCCCTTCTTTTTCTTTTCCCTGCTTCACCGCTTCCTCTCTCGTGGTTCACGTTGTTCTTCCTCACCCACAATCCACAATCTTCAAGATTTGATTTTTCCATCAATGTGTGCAGCAAAATCGAAAATTTCCTCTAACCCATCTCAAATGTGGATCTCAATTTCACGCTGCACCCCACATTGCTTGTATTTTCCGGTGACCGAGATCTAGGGTTTATGCTTCCCCTTTTCCCTTGCTCGTGCAGAAATCATCACTCTCGGGTCCGATTGATTCCGATTCTGCCTTCATGGGCTTGTTTTCCATCTAAAAGGTTTGCAATCCGTTGATTTCAGCTTCTGGGTCGCAATGCTCAAGCAAATCCTCAGCAAGCTTCCTCGAAAATCGTTGAAACCTGACTCGGACGAGTCAACTCGGGGTGACTCGTCGCATTCCACCTATTCGCCACGCGCCTCTGGCAGAAGCCACAGACCTCACGGGGGCGGATGTTCAACATCAGCCGCCCTGAAGCGAGCTTCGTCGTCAGCAGTGTTTCCGGCGAGCATGGTGTCTGGGATTGAACCTTTGGTGCCGTTTAAGGATGTTCCTAACGCTGAGAAGATGAACCTGTTTGTGAGCAAGTTGAGCCTTTGTTGTGTCACGTTTGATTTCACAGACCCTGGTAAGAACATTGCGGATAAAGATGTGAAAAGGAAGACTTTGGTTGAACTTGTTGATTTTGTGGCTTGTGGGTCAATGAAGTTTAGTGAGCCTGCTATCCTTGCTATGTGTAGAATGTGTGCTATTAATCTGTTTAGAGTTTTTCCTCCTAATTATAGGGCTAATGGTGGTGGTGGTGAGAATGATGATGACGAACCTATGTTTGATCCCGCTTGGCCGCATTTGCAACTTGTGTATGAATTGCTGCTTAAATTTATCTCTTCTTCGAGCCTCGATGCTAAGGTAGCAAAAAAGTATATTGATCATTCGTTTATTTCGAGGTTGCTTGAATTATTTGATTCAGAGGATCCTAGGGAAAGGGATTGCTTGAAGACAATTCTGCATAGGATTTATGGGAAGTTCATGGTGCATAGACCATATATTCGAAAATCTATGAACAATATATTTTATCGGTTTGTGTTTGAGACTGAGAAGCACAATGGGATTGCTGAGTTGTTGGAGATTTTTGGGAGTGTAATTAGTGGGTTTGCTTTGCCGTTGAAAGAGGAACACAAAATCTTCTTGTGGCGAGTTTTAGTCCCCTTGCACAAACCGAAATCTATGGGGGTGTACTTTCAACAATTGGCTTACTGTGTTATGCAATTTATAGATAAGGAACCAAAGTTAGCGAGCATTGTGATTAGGGGTTTGTTGAAGTATTGGCCGGCAACAAATAGTCAAAAAGAGGTGATGTTTCTGGGTGAACTCGAAGAAATTTTGGAAGTAATTAACATGGTAGAGTTCCAGAGGGTCATGGTCCCATTGTTTTGGCGAATTGGATGCTGCATTAACAGTTTACACTTTCAGGTACAATTGTTATGCTGAATTCATTTGGCAAATTCTCATAATTGGATACTTCTATGTTATTTTTTCTCTTAAAAGGATTAGATCCGTACTTCATAGTTTAAGTGGTACTCTATATTTTGTTTTATTTACATGTTCTAGCAGGTTTTATTTCTGTTAATGTATAATATATAAGTATATTGCATTCTTTTTACAATTTACAGATGTGAAGATCTTCCTTACTTATGTTCTGTAATTCATATTAAATATGAAAATATAAGTGAATTCTTGATAGGGTTGAGCAATTAGTCTTGCAATGTGGTTGGATTAGTTCTTTGTTAATTACCACGATTCTGCAAGCTAGTTTGAACATTTTTTTTATAGAAGTGCTCACAACAGTTACTTAACTATTTCTGATAATCAAGGCTGGAGATCTACCCATGGAAAAAACTCCTGACTTTTCTAGATTTTCTCTTTTCTTTTTCCACATTTCAGTTAGTTTGATAGTTTCTGTTGTAGCATTTGTGGCCTATTATGCTCTTTATGAAATGCAATTTTAGTGTAAACTACAGTGGCATTTAGTTAAATATTAAGGGTTCTATAGATGATAATTTAGTTAAATATTACTATATGTCCTAATTTCCCACCTCTATTTAGTTTCTACCAAGGTTTTCCTGGGCTTCAGATTTTCGGAAAACAGTTTTCTTGCCTTCTGTGAATATGTTGTTTTAGCTCTGTTACTGATATGGAATCAAGTTATACTGGAAATAGCTGATATGGTTAGTTAGTTACTGGTAGGAATTGAGTTATTGGAAGCCCAAACTTAGATTAGAGACTCAAGGTCATCTGTTTTTTATTGATTGTTTAAGAGGGGAATTGTACTCAACGATGAAATAAACATGGAGTCTTGGAGTTTGCTTTATCTCAAAATTATTGTTGTTTGTGGACAATTTGTTTTATGTTTTAACAACCATTCAATGAGAATTGGGAATATGTTAATCTTTGAAGATTAATTGGGAGGCACTATTAGTGGGTCTTTCCTTGATAATATTTTACTTTGGGTTCAAAGATAATACCTGTTGCACTGTGTAATGTGATTGTGTTAATTGAGTTCCTGATAGGATGTGAAACAGTGAAAGCCGTTTGTCTCATCTTCCTTGGTTCATTTGAAAACTCTAGTTAGATCTTAATCTTTTCAGGGAATGAGGATAAACATTCTTTTTTCTTTCTACAGAGCTCTTTTTTCTCCACAATATTCATGTTCCTTGAACCCTTTTGTGAAAAGGAAGCTGTTATTGTTACCTTTAGGTGCTTGTAACTGTTTTGGCTCTTCTTTGCCTGCGTTATCACACTTTTGAGAATCAGTTGTTTCCGTAGACATACTTGTTAATAGCTGAAAAATACATTTTCTTTTTTCTTGTCTACACTGATTGTTGCAGGTAGCTGAAAGGGCCCTATTCTTATGGAACAATGATCACATTGTCAATTTGATTGCTCATAACCGTCAAGTGATCCTGCCCATCATATTTCCAGCTTTAGACAGGAATGTTCAATGCCATTGGAACCCAGCAGTTGTCAACTTGACTCACAATATCAGAAAGATGTTCTTGGAGATGGATGAGAAGCTCTTCATTTCTTGTCATAATCACTTTAAGGAAGAAGAAGCAATCATAATCACAGCGGCTGAGAAGCGAAAGGAGGCGTGGAAACAACTTGAGCATGCAGCCAGTCTCAGGCCTGTCATTGGAAACACAGCTGTTTTAGTGTCCTGATTTGCATTGCGTGCTGGTTTCCCAATCCTTTTTCACTTTCCTCATGTTTTGATGGCAAACCTGAAGAAATGTGGAATGGCTGTTATTGAGAGTTGCATTTTGTTTTTGGATCCTATGTTCTTATGATGCTTCTGGCAGCCAATATGAAGTGTCATGGTTTTGATTGCTACTGTGTGGTACAAAGTTTACCTCATGATGAGGACCATGCAGTGAATGAAACCATTTTCTGTACAAGTTTATTTCCAAAATATTCTCAGTATGTATGTACTAATAGTTGTATTTACAGTACAGTCTTCATGCTCTTCTGCTCCATTACCTTGAATTGCTATAAAGACTGCTGTTTGAAGACTAACAACCAACGTGAGATGAAGTATTAATTATTCGTTATAATAACAAAAAAAAATTGATTTAAATAATTAAGGCGTTGCCATTTCATGTACAATATTGTTAGTTGTGCTCGATGATATAAATACTATCCAAGCATTAGTTTTATGTTACGACAGTAGCATATTTCTATGCGGGGCTTTTTTGGATTAACTTATTTTATTAAATACATCTAACTAATTTTAATCTTTTTATCGATTAACATCTTAAAAGATTTCACAAAAAATTTATCTCTTAGATTTTGACATTTTAGATATATATCAGTTGATAAATTAGTAGTTGTTTTGTTTCTTTAATACTTCTAGTAGTTCCATGGATTATTTACAAGCAGTATTCAAACTCAAGCTCTTATTTAGTCTTTGCTAATAGTTGTATTTAAAGTACAGTTTTCATGCTCTTCTGCTCCATCAGATTAAGTATTAATTATTCGTTATAATAAAAAAAATAATTTAAATAATTAAGGCGTCGCATTTCGTGTACAATATTTTAGAAAAATAAAATTGAACATTCATAAGTATATATCAATAAAATTTGATATAGTTGGTGGATAATTAAATTCCTTTAATTTGCGGACTAAGATTTGACTCATGGCCCCGTCTTTATGGTTAAAGGTTTTGTCATAAGATGATAAATTTAATTTAAAAATGTCTACATCCTGAAAATGATAAATCTCCTACTGTTAGAAGGTATCCTGATTGCCCACCAGAAGAGTCACCGGAATACGAAGTAACATGACAACTTTGGTCCTTAAACAATGAGTGTTAGTTCTTTTAGTCTTTCAAATTATAATTTTTTTTAATGCATAAAATGTCAATGACTTTAGTCTTTGAAATTATACTAATCATGAATGTTTAATTTTGTCTGAACATTTTTATATTTTTCATTTTGTTTTGTCCTTGAATTTTTATTTTATTTTAATTTTTTATGTAGTTTATGCCTTTTATTTTATTTTCAAAAATCATAAATAGTATAAAACAAATTTTGACAAAAAAGTATAGAAATGACCCACAAATGATTCTAGTTTAATCCAGATCCAATCCGAGTCGCACACTTGGATGTGATGGGTGGGTTTACTACTAAAGATTTTTTGTATACACAAGGACTCGAACTCAACTTAAACAATACTGAGTCGCTTGCCACTCAGACCCACCTCTGTTAGTTCTAAAATTTATTATTTAGCCAATAAAATTGTTCTATGTCGAATTTGGACTTCTTAGGAGGATGTATTGGTTTAGGATTTTAAAAGGCTTTTTTTAAGTAAAAAAGTTTGTTGTTATTTAATCAAGATTTTATATCACTTAAAAACAATATAGTGGTATTCAATCTGAATTTTTAAGATTTTTTAAAAAGTTCATTAAAATTTATTGGTATTAAGACTTTTTACAACTTAAAAATAATCTATTAGTATTAAAAAATATAAGGATTTTAAAGGATTGTTGTATTAGAGAAATTTTAAAGGACTTTTTAGTGGTATATATAAATACCAAATTCATAAAACAATTCCATCCAAACTCATCAGATTTTGGAGGAATGTTTGAAGTGACTTTTCAAGTACTTCAAGAATTTTCGATAAATTTTTCATCTCTTTTTTTTTTATGCTCCTGTCTTCTCTATTTTTTTCTCTGCTAATAATACTGCAATATTATTCATATATAATAATGTACTACTGTTCTCATTTCATTCCCCTATTTGGTGAAAAAGTAAATGACAGTGTCATGAAGTTGTTCTATTTAGTTGAGTTTGTTCCTCAGATATATAACACAAAAAATGCTTGAAATTTTAACTTTTAAGTATTAATTTTTTTATGACACCTGTCAAGAAAAGGAAAATATAAAAGCTGAAATTGATATCATGATATCTACAATCTAACTATAGATCTTCAAATAGTTAACTAGTACCTTTAGGATTGTATTGGAGTTATTGACAGGATACACATTCCAGCAATGGTGAGGGGGCGAGATGTAAGCAGTTATCGTTATTGTCATGGAAAGATATCACAAAATATATTAATCACTTGTAATTTTGATTTGGAGTTCATGTATGTTCTTAGTGGGTGGGAGGGTTCGCGTCATAATTCTAAGCTACTAAATGATGCTATAACAAGGAAGAATGAACTTAAAGTGACTTAAGGTAAGTACTTATTTTTTAAGTAATAATAATAATGATAATAATAATAATAATAATTATTATTATTATTATATATATATATATATATATTGTATATGTAATTAGGTAAATATTTCTTGGTGGATTGTGAATTTCCTAACTGATGCTAATTTTTAGCTCCATTTCAAAGTGTAAGATATCATCTATAAGATTTTGCATATCAGGGTAATAATCTCGAAAATGAGAAAGAATTGTTTAATCTTCCTGATGCTTCTTTAAGGAATGTGATTGATAGAATATTTGGTATTTTTAAATCAAGGTTCACAATTTGTAAGTCAACACCTTCATTTTTATTTAAGACACAAGTAAAACTTGTGTTAACATGTACAGCACTATATAACTTTTTTCGCAAAGAATGTTTTGATGAATTTTTAATTGAACCGATAGGCGATGAATTTTCAATTGAACCGATAGGCGAACCTTCATCTTCAACATTACCGGTTAATGAAAGTCATAGTTTTGAGCCTATTATTCAAACCCAAGAGTAAGAACGAGAAAACACTAATGCTTGAAGGACTAGTATAGCTATGAATATGTAAGTGAATATTATTTAGGAGAACATAATATTACAAAGAATTATTATTATTATTTATTCAGATATTGTTATTTTTTTATTATTTTTGTCTTTAACTCTTTTTAAATTTGAATGTATGAAAATAATCTTAAACTCTTTATGTAAAAAATCTACGAAATTCTGCAAAGTCCACAAAGTCTCGCAGAATCTCTTAAAATTCTGACTTAAAAGTCTTGCAGTATCCATTAAAATCTTAATTTTAGAGTCTTGCAAAATCTTAAAAGTTATAAAAATTCTGCGAAGTTTTTAAAAATCTGCTGGACTTTTATCAACTAAAAATGTCCTTTAAAATTCTAATCCAATACACTCCTTTTAGTGTTATTTAACAATGCTCTTTTATTTTTTGTCCACTTTATTTTATTTTTTAATTTTAATTGTTGAATTTTAACATTAAAAAATCCAAAAAGAAAATAATAATCAAGAATTGAACTGGTAGCTTAATTTGGTTTGCTCTCATATCATCATCTTCCTTAGATCGGGTCGCAGCATCTTTTAATCAGAAGCCGTTACAATATTTCTAGATGACACCATTTAAATGTTGTAACCTATGCTTTTCATGTTCACACTTTATATATTCTTTTAGCCTTTATATGTTAGCACAGTTATTTGAGTTTTTCTTTTAGCGTGATTTGTTGATATGCAATTCACTTATAATGGGAAGGTTTCTTAAAACCTTCTCCCTTAAAACCATGTTGCCACAATATGATCAATACAAATTCTAAACACCAATTTATCTCTGCTCTCTTACAAATCAATCAATGAACATTATCAAATTTAGTTATCCTCATGATTTGGTTTAATTGAATTCTTGGAGCTTATTTCTCTCTTAATACAAATTTTCATCTCAACTGGTATCAAAGCTTCATCTTGAGGCGTTATCATGGATGACATGACAAGGAAGCAAACTAATATTCAAGAGGTGAAACGATCTTTGACAAGTAATACTAGTGACTCTAATGAAGAGATGATCAAGTCACTGCTTGTTTAACCTTAAGCTCATGTATGATATAACCAATCAATTAATTAGCCAGAAGGTTCATCCACCAATAACCTCGACACAAACTGAAGTCCATGACAATAATTGGGCTTTTTGGGTTTCTAAAAAACAAACATTTCCATCACAAAATCGGTGTGCCACTAGAATTTCAAAAATCTATTTTCCATGAGACAAGAATAAAGGAATGACTCTATAAATGGGAGCATTTTTTTTCGACATTGTACCAGAATCTAAGGTACGTTTGACCTCCATTCACTTAATTGTCATAAGAATAACAAAATAGTGACATAAACATGGATAGTAATCAGTATAGTAGGATAGCACTCCAACAAACTACACCAATTTCACGGCATTTTTTTTATTATATATGGATGGTTGATACAGTCCAAAAATAATGTTGAAGCACTTCAGCTTTCATAACGGCTACCCAAAAATGGATTCTGAAATAGATGTTAGTACAATTCTCTACGTGAACTAAATCATTATGTATCAATTTCACGTTACAATTAGATTTGGAAGCACAAATGTTTGGCACCATCCTACATGAGTACATGTCATGACAATAATTAGATGGTCAAATAATTTCAATCAATGATAATACACCTTTCCTGTATCAGCAATTCTGCATGTCAAACTTTAGTCTTCAGAGACCCATCATTTACAACTTTACACTTGAACCTGGAAAAGTGACTGCACCGCTTTTGGAGACAAATTTGCCACGCTCTTGAACTGTCATAAGAAGTAAAATTCACTGTTATGAGCATCTTCATGTAGCCAAAACTCAGTTTAATCAGATGGAGAGAAGGTTAAAGACAGCAGAACAATTTACTTAATAGACCTTATGATATAGTGCAATTGGGATGTGTCACCAGTGGAGTTAAACCTTTGACCAACAGAAAAAAGGAAGAAGAGTTTGCCTTTTGGTATGTATTATTCTAACCTTCTGTTGTTTATATTTTTCGTGAATAGCATTCAGGCAACAGCCTTTGGTATTAAGTTGCAAATCTGCCAGCGCAAGGACAGTAGTTTTAAGCTCTAACACTTTGTAATTTGTATAGTGCTCCATAGTTGAATTCTGCAAATAAATGGATGAGTTTTTAGACTTATTTACGTCTATAATAAGGCATAATATGTCAACTTGCAAGTATGTAGTCATAATATAGCACAGACCCATGGATGTTCTGACTGGTTGAGGGTCCACTTGGCAAGTAATACGGCCGATGCAGCTATCAGGGAAGGTAGAAACTGCAAGAAGCTATATTCAAGAAGAGTAAGCTCTGCTAAATAATTTGCCAGGAACTCCAGTTCAACATAGCTAACCTGTATAACGGGAAAAATTAACAACCAAATTGGTTTTGTTGGTTTCCTTTTGGGCATAATAGAAGCACCTTCTAAAGTTAAATTGTGGTTGCTTAATAGCTACTACGGGCTATAGTACCTTGTAGGAAGACTGTGCTGCTTGGATGAACCTCCTGAAAGTCAAACAAGATTGTCATGGTTCAATTACGTTTTAAGTATCAACTAAATGACATCAACGAAACAATAAAAGTAACAAACAAGTGCTGCTTTTTCTATGAGGCAGGGCTTGCTGCATGAAGAACTATTGTAAATAATATCTATACACAAATTTTTTGCCTATAAATCTTCCTTAATGGTTTTGCCTATTATTTTTCTTGATCTCGCTTTGCTCTGGTGATTGAGCCACCCTCCATTAGATCTGCTCTTCTTTAACCATGCCAAAATCACCTAAGGCTAGTTTGTACCATCTTTTCTATAATAGGTGCTACTCCAACTTTCTAATTCATTCTAATCTAATTGAATAATGTTTGGCATGTTTACTTATCCAACACAACATTCTGATTTCTGCAACATTAAGTTTATTCTCCTGTTGTGCAGAAAATTTTTTCCTTAAGCTTGAATGGTACTAATGAAGTTTACTCTCCATTTCATCCACCATGCTTGAATCCTATGATTTACATCCCCATCTTTCTCTGTTGTTTTGTATGGTGGACCCAATAATAGTCAAACTGAAGGACTTAACTTATGGTATCGCATGGTAGGGTCTATTATTTCCACGTCTATGCTAGGATTGATGTGCTTTCTAATAAACTTACATTTTCATGTACTTTGTCATACTTACACATACAAAAGCTTTGCATTTCCAAAGTATATAACATTACTAATACTATCTTCCTTTTTATTTTCTTTCTCAACTTCTCCAACTACAACTATATCATCTGCAGAAAGCATGCATCATGGCATTGACTCCTGAGAATGCTTAGTTAGCACATCATCTTAACAAAAATTGAATATATAATACGCACCTGAGAAATGTTTTAGTGGTGGGAACAGATAATTGAAAATGCAAAAGATTTAGAACCTCACTCTCCATTTTCAATACCTGTCAAGTGCCAATGATTAGGTGTTTTATATATCACTGTCGGCCATAATGAATACAATTTGAGAAGATGAAGGTTCCAGCTATACTACCACACGTCATACCTCCGCTTTTGTGTATGTATTATCTGTTATGAAGCAAAATTCTTCCACTCGAGGAGCACAAATCTCTTCATACTTTCTTAAAGCCATGGAAAAAAGAGCAATTTAAAATTTCCTCATAATATTTAAAAAAAAAAAAAGAATTGAGAACATTCATACATTAGCAACTGTCCCTATCCGATTCACCAAATGCATTCAACATCAATATTGTCTGGAAGGATTTATAATACAGCAATTCACTATTTTTCAATTCTTCATGGTTATGTAAGACTAGCAACGCAAAACAAGAGAAATGCTACTATTTCCAAACAAATCTTACACATATGCTGGGAGTAACAGATTTACGAATGGAAATCCAAATAAAATTCCTTGCAAGCTCATTAACAATATCATAAAAAATAACAAGAACATAGTTATACTATGTAAAATCTGTTAACGAACACACATATACAAGTTGAAGACTTACAAGTGAAGTAATTATAGAAGAAACTGTAAAATAATAATCATCAATATCATACTAGATTGAAGATGTACAAAGTGTTGTGATATCAACTCAATCATAATGAGCTCAATATTTTTTGAGTTCAAAGAGAAGAACAAAAAGGTAAAACTAGAGCATGAGGAACTTGCATATTGCTTAATCAGGGCCAACCATGACAACTACATAGTTTTGTACTTACGATGCAAGCAGCATGCATGTAACACCCACCAACTGGAGCCTTTGTTTCTGAACCAAACATCTAGAAAGAAACCGATCAATGAGATTCACCGTCAGGTAGAGAGTGTCAGGAACTAACTTATATTCCTCAGAAACCTGAAAGAGAATATAACAAAGCTTCAACTAATCCATTCAGCAGCCAAGGATTGCGCAACTCAGCTAACAGTAATTAAATATTTGTTTTTTTATCTTTATTGCGCCTTTACCATGGATAATAAGTAATAGAAGTCCATCTTTTCTCACTATCAATAATTCAGCTAGGTTTCAATTGAAAGCCATCCGTCAAAATACATTAGCAAGTTTTTGGTGCATAATAGCAAGAAGCATGGTGAGAACACTTGAGATGGCATTGAAGTCAAGTACCAAAATGTAACAGCAGATTCAAAAGAGAAATAATACATGTTTTAAAATTTGTATTGGCAAACACCATTGAATATTAAGTAATCCTTTTTATGAGATTAACTCATAAAAAATTGATAAAAGGGTGGCCCAACACATGAGGCTTACTTGGTGAGATCTGGAGAGGGTAGACTACACAACCTTACCTCCACATATAGAGAGGCTGCTTCCAGGATTTCACCCTCAACTCATCAAAATTTCATATTAAATGAAAAAATAACATAGTTGAAGAATATTGAAAAATTTAACGGTCAAGAAAAACACTTAGGTTGGTATTGTCTGGCTGATATTTCAAAATTTTTCTGTAATAATCTAAAGGAAGAATGAAAGAAGTGCTACCATAAAAAATATACGAAGACCAAACATTATATACATACAAGAAATTGAATTGTATGACACACAGATTTGCAACAAGGGATAAAGAGGACAAGCTTAAGATATCCACCAGTATAGAAATGAAAAAACTGCCACTAGACTAACCTCTACAAGCCAATCAACAAGAATTCCTCGCATGCTTGGAGTGATATCTTGCTGCAACTTGTCCATGTAATTGGCAATTACCGGCCTGCTTTCATACTGGAGAGATTAAACCAAAACTTACTATCACTTTTTTCTTTTTTTTGGCAAAGCATATCCTTTTCTTTTCTAAGCTTTAGTAATATAGTTTTACTTTTTAAATTAAATTATGCAAAATATTATACTGTTACTGAACTGAATAAATAATGTTCTCTGCTTTTCGAAGGAATGTTATAATGCAGTCAGACAGTCACTAGGAAAATACAAGGAAAGCAGAAGCAGTTGAGATTTAAATCATAATATTGTTAAGGAGACGCCACTACATTGTCACCAGTTACGTAAACAAAAGTGGTAGCAATAATCCAAATATAAAATGACATTTCTTCAATACTAACCTCTCTGATGCATATATTATTGTATATATCAGGGGCATAAGAACTCCAAACTTGAGGATCCTTTAACTCCTCTGAATCAATGTCCACAATGCCCAATCCATCTGAGGCTCTTAGTTTCTCACAAATCATTTCTATGTCTGCATAATCCAATAAAATAAAATATAATAAAAATCAGTAATTTATGAAATGTTAACTTCTAATTTGGATATTATCTTTAGAGTGAATACTGGGTTCTTGTAGTAACTTATTTTTTCACTTTAGCAAAAGAGCAATCATATAAGTTGCCACTCCATGAACTTGAAAGTTCCAATTATATTAATATTGCCATTGCAATGTCCAATTAGTAATCAATAAAATACTGTTGAGTGAATAGTTAGCAAATAATATGTAAAGCATATTAATAGCCACCAGGTAAAGTGCTTGAAAGCATCTATATTATACCCTGTATGCAAGGAAACAAGTAAAAATGAAGAAATACAAAAAAATGGGATGAACTTACACTACAATGAAACACTCATGAGTTCAACCAGAGAGGTGCAATTGTAATTGTCATCTGTACAATTATTATCTCATAAATCGCATTCCTATAGTCTATTAATGCATACTGATAGTAACACATAAGATCATAGAAAAACCTTTATCTGGAGAACTCAGAAGTTCATCAGACTTCTTAGAGTCCTGCACTGAAAGCAGGGGAACTGCCATACCACATTCTCTCATGTTATCAGCCATACAGGGTTGTAGTGGCGCTCTGTCTTCCAGCCTTTCTGCTACGAAGTTGTCATGTGATTCTTCCATCAATATTGTGGAATAGTCTTTAGCTACCTTTGCTCTAACATCCTCTTGGGTTGACAAAACTTGCATGGAGACATCTGAAGCTCCCTTTGCATTTCTCTTCTTATAACCTCCTCTTGTCTATGTAATGCATAGTTAACCATTATCACCAACTCACACTATAATTAGACTAAATAGGCAAGTTAAACTATCATTCACTTACAGTTTAGTCCCTAAATTGATTATGTAAGCCAGTTACTCCTTTAATTTACAAAATCCATATTCAGCTAGTCCTTCTGAAGGACTAAAGTGAGATACAAGAAGAACTAGTGTAGTATAAAATCATGAAATAACTTTTACACAAATTCAAATAACAGTTTTTTAATTTTGTATTTTAAACACGAGAATTTTCCACAAAGTCACACTAAATTTCATAGGTGAGGTTACAACCTATGACTAATTATGCAGATAACATCACCCCAAATCTTCTTTTATAAAAACAATCAACAACAAAGGTTTTCAAATTCATCAATAATGGTTTTTTTAAAAACATCTAATCTGCTAAAAAGGGATTTTGTTCCTTCAAAGCTAGTTAATTCAAACTCATACTAAACTGTTATTTAGACTTTGTCATTGAATTTGCAGTATATCTGCTAAACTGTTATTTAGACTTTGTCATTGAATTTGCAGTATCTCTGCTCAACGGTGGAATTCCTTCTTAGCAGAAAAAAAAAAAAAAAATTGGTTCAGACACTCACATTGCATACCTGAAATTTCCTTGCCTCAACACACTTGTCCTGTGATTTTCTGCAGATGTTGGTAACATCTCCTAACACTGCCCTGTTCTTATCAATAGAAGCTTGGCCTTTGCTTTCCTTTTTAAAAGAGGGTCTGGAAGAGTTAGATACCCCTCCCAATGATCTAGCCATTGCTCGAGTAACTCGAACCACTAGTTGTCCACCATCTCTCACACCACTAATTGCAGCATTTTCTCTATTCATTTTGCAGACCTTGAACATCATCAACAACAAACTGAAAATCAGTGCTTCATGTGAAAATCTCTCTCTTACCTGTTTCCAAATACCAATTCACCTTTCCTTAACAAAAAAACACTCATCAATAAATCTAATCTAATAATAAAGAAGCACATAAAATCAAGTTCATTTCCAACATTGCAAACCTCTTCAAGAACCTCTCTATTATCTAACAGTAGGTAGTGAGTGAGTGTGAAATTAAGGAACAAATTTATTTTCATTATTGGTGAAAAATTATTTTGAATATGAAATTTACAGTTTAATTGTTACAACAACATGTAACAAGAAGGTTCTAGAATGCACTCAGATCTGCATGAAAACCGTAACAAATTGAATAGAAACAAAAAAAAATCAAGTCTCTGGAAGAATGAATGAAGATAGCGTTTTTGAAGGAATAAAGACCACGAACTGGATTCGGGCAGAAAGCTCATTTTGGGTAATGATCCTGAATGAAATAACTAAACTATAACTGGGCACAGAGTTGTGAGCTATGCTTACTGCGATTTTCAGAGCTCATTGGTATCTGAATGGCAGAAAGGAGAGAGAGTGAAACTGAAGGGTGTGAGTGTGAAAGATGAAAGAGTGATGAATGAATGATAATAAAAGCTGAGCGTGAGACTTGTGAGAGCGGGAGAGAGTGAGAGACAGCCACAGTTTAAACTTGTCAAAATCCAAAGGCTACTTTTCCATATTATTGTCAAAACATTAAAAGAAATAAATAATATTTTAAATTAATATATACTTTTTTTAGAGCATATCTAAGAATTCAATCTTAAAGAATGTTAATTACTTTACTTTTTATAAATAGTATATAATTCTTTTTGATTTAAAAATACAAATTATTTTTTTTTACTTTTAAATCATGTAATAAAATATTTTGGGGTTGTTAGTTGTTACATGATCACTTTTAAAAAATCATCTGTTTTTTTTTATAATTTTGACAAATTAAAAAAAATTAAATATATATCATTTTATCCCATAATAATTAAATATTTGTGTATCTCATATATATTATTAAATGAAGATGATCATCATAAAAAATTTATCTGATAAGTTGATGTATATCTATGCTATAGTTCGTGAAATTCGAGTGAATTTAATGGTTAAAAATTATATTCAAATAATATATATATATATATATATATATATATATATTATAAAAGAAAAACATGACTTTCCTTGTTTATTCAAGTATGTGATTATGTAATAGCACATTTAAAAACCAAGGCAGATGCGACGTTGAACAAATTTTGAATGGTTTAAAGGTATAACTATATTTATCCGTAGTATATATACAATATATTTCCTTATAAATTTTCAATCTATGGAATTATTTTTATATTTAACCAAAATTTCATGATTGTAGTATAATTGTTTTTTATTAAATTGAATTTCTCTGTTAGGCAATGAGATAACTTTTGTTAAATTTATAAATTTAGTTTATTATATTTGTGAAATAACTCGTATTAATTAATTCCATAGTAACATATTTGATCATTGCAATTATTTGAATTTATTAAAATTGTGATAGAATTCAATAACTGAACAAAAGTGTACAGATAAGAAAATTAATGAGATTAAACTAAATATCTTTGTTATTGTGTTTCAAAATGTAATGAATAAAATACACTAACTGTTTTGAAATATTACATGTAACTGAACTATTTCAAGATAATATCAAAAAGTTAAACTATTTGAAGTTAAATTGCTGATAAAAATGATTTTATTTTATAATTAATTTTGGGTGTAAACCACATGTATTATCTATTAGATATGGATTATAATTAATTTGAATCGCTAAGGAATAATTCCTGAATTTATTTTTAAGACAATTATATTTTTATATACGTGTAATTTTGGTATTTAATTTTAATTATTTTTAAAATTTTCAAATATTCAAATTAAGTCCTTTACCTCAAAATTAATATTTTTATTATATTTTATAAATTTTATTTTATATTTTTATTTAAATATTTTGTATTTTTATTTTTTTGTACAAATTAATAATATATCATACTTTCATTATATTTTTAAGAATTATTAAATAAAATTTTTTGAACTTAATTTGAGTATTTAAAAAAAATAAAAAAACTAAATATAAATAATTAAAATTAAAGAGATCAAAATTATATACACCCTAAAATATAGGAATCAAAATTATAATTAAATTTATTTTTAATTAAGTGACAAAATCACACATTGTAATATTGTATATTTTTATCACAAATAAATAAAAAAATGTTAATATCTGAATTTTATAATCATCTCTCTCTTTTTTTGGGCGCATAATCAACTTTTAGTAAACCCTAAACTGCACCAATTTTGTAAAAAAAAAAAAAGCTCGAATTTTCAAGCCCAATGGTAAAAAGTCAAACTAACTCAACAAAGGGGAATGTGATACCCACAAAAGATTATGTGATCAAAGGTCAATTGCTTGAATAGTGAATAATCTAAAATATACTATTATAGAGCAACTATTTTGTTTGCTTGTATTCAAAATTATCTCCTGAGTATAAATAAACAAATAAATCACCTTTTTAAAACAAATCTCAAAGTCATTGACTAATGAGGCACAATAATAATAATAATAATGTGGCCTATGCAAGAAATTTACTTTTTTCATACATGGGAAGTAAATATAGAAGATAATGTTTTACAGTATAATTCAAATTTAGATTGGATAAAATTTAACTGTAATTCTTAAAAGTATTTATTATGTTATTTTTAAATTAAAACTAGAATTTTATATCAATAAAAAATCTAAACTTAATATTGTTAAAAATTCCTGTGATAAAAAAAACATAGAAAAATATTTAATCCTCAGCATTGTCCAACATTTTCCTATCTTATTTATTCATTTAGTATCACCAAATCCACTTATAAGTATACTAACAATAAACAGAAGTTAATTACATCTTTTTTTCTCATACACCCTACTTGATAATCCTAAGATGCATTTCATCCTTTGCTTTGCTTGTGGTGTGACATGTTGGAGTGTTTTGTTGCTAAAGAAGCTTACAACATTAATGATCCTTTATGCTTGAATGAGGCTTCCCTACATTTGTAGTCATTGAATGTGGTACAATTATTAGAGTATGATATCAAAGTGATGTGGCCCCCCAATGTGATTGAATTGAAGGTTTTGAAACACAAGGGGCATTGGAAAATGGGTGCATATTCAACTACCCCAACTGCATCAATAGCTTAATTTTAAATTTTTTGGAATAAGGTTAGTATAGACACATTGACCACAACTCATGCATGGACCCGCCATAGAAGAGTCTCCTTCAGCTCTCCGCTCCCCCATATGTCCTATTAAGCTCCTAAGGATATAAAGAATGAGATGTTAATTGTACTCACCCTTAAAGCTAAAGCTAAGTGCCAAGTGGGGGCAATGTTAAGATATCATATTTTAACTTACATCTTTATGTTGGTTTCTATTTAAGCATTTTATTAATTGATGATTTAAAGGAGTTGATTAAGTAATTAATAAATATTAAAAACTATAGAAAGTGTATAAATTTATTATAAGAATATGCATTATACTTTTTTAATAATTTTTAACTAATATTTTTTTAACGAAACTTATTCTTTAAATATTTAATATAATTAACTGAAACTCAAACTCAAACCTACAAATTAAATTAGAATTTTTTTTTATCTATAATAACACTGATTAACGTTTGTCTTTATTTAATTAAACTTCTTCAATTTTTTTATAAAATAATTAATTAATTTAAAAAAAATAAATAAATAAAAATTATAAATTTATATATTAAATAATTAAATGCATCAATTTGTACGTAGAATAAATAAATATCTCATTAATACAAATATTGTAACAAAATAAATAAATTTAATAATTAATATGTCAAAAAAATAAATTTAGATTTATTATAACTAAAAATATATTGTCTGCAATTTTTATTTAATTAGGAAAGAGAGAGTAGAATTTTTAAGCCTAATAATCCCATATAGGAAAAGCCATTCAAAGTTTTGCAATGTGAGGCTCCTGTGGATACAAGTTTCCCAATCTACAAAGCCGCGGATTGGCGGCTTCTGTGTTTCTTGAGAAAGGCCAAAGAAAAGGCTCCAAAAATCTATCCCCACATAATAAAAGGCCAAGAATTTCAAAGCAACCACTTTTTGGGACCCCCGTTTTGTTGAGTAAAACCAATCTCTGCGACGTATCTTTCAAGTCATCAAACAGTGAAGTCCCAACTCAGAAATTTTAAAATTTAAAATCAATCTTCAATTTTGGAGCTTCAACTAGAGGTCTAGAACTCTCTTTCTACAATTAAAAAGGAATAAATAACTTTTTTTCTTTTTACTCCTAGCATGTTAAGCATGTCTCTTGACTATTGCACTTACTTTTTCTTATTAAATTAAAAACTTTTATTTTAGAAGTTTTTTTTTAATGGTGATAGATGCTCAGACTTGGAAATTTATGCATACATGGAAATACAAAGGTACATTTACACAAATATATGAGTAGTTAAGTAAGTAGCATACTAGAGAATTTAAGTTAAGTTTTGATTGTGTATTTATGTCATTGTGCAGTTAAATATTTTAAATGTTATTGAAAATTGTAAAAAAGAGAGAGAAAAGTATGAATAAGAGGACAAAATAGTATTCAAAATTAAAATTGAAAATCAATTATATAATTTTAATAAAGAGAGAAAAGCTTTCAATGCCTTTCCAAACGATATATTTCGCAAATGCATATGCATGGACCATATCACAGGAAGGATTGGTGTAGCTTATTGTGTCAAAGTTTTCACTGTTTAATATCTTCCACATTCTTTAACGAGTTACCACAACTATAAGACGAAAATAACAAGCTACAAACCAAGAAAAGCTACTCCAGAACTATTTTTGAAAAGGCTAAGCATTCAGTTGAAAGTTTAGTTAAAGTTTATATTTTACTGTTAAGTGCATTATGCTAAGGAGTATTTCAGTTAACTTAGTTTGTGTGTCGATCACGGTTTGGATTTTGGGTCATGACACCTGAGAAATTGTAGAGGCTTTGAGAACAATATATACTTTGGTTTATATATCATTGTGACGAGCTTGTGCTGAGTAATGCTAATTCCACTATTAAGATGTAAGTTACTCCAATTCTTGAGTCCTTGCCACACCTTGAGAGCATGTCTTGATACTTGCAAAAAGAGGTTCAAGGTAGGGTGCATGTTGGCCACAGTATAAGGTATTATAAGGTGCAATAACAATTTTCATTTGAAAATAGGTTACTATATGTTGAAATAGATCTAATCTCACTTAGACACCATGCACTAACTTGTGCATTCTTGAGAGTTAGACTTCAAATTATAGGGGGTAGGCCAATAGGAAAACTAAGACATGGTTGTACTTTAGAGAATTTGTTTGAAGAAGAAGAAGACATCATTTTTTTGTGAATAGCACATCAAAGATAATGTATCATTTGCTTCTTAGTCTTAGATAATCTACCATACATTATGAAGTATATAAACAAGATCAAAATTGCATTGACTGGTGATTTTTCTCTTGTATGCTTTCTTTGCACATACACACTGCACTGTGGCTCATGGTTTCGGGCAAAGCACATTAAACTAACAAAGATTTGTACCTTAGTCTGAAGAATAGAAACCAAGTTCCTAGCATTACAAAACATGAAGGGAAATTATACACTAAAGATATCTGCATGATTATATTAAGAACCAAAGCAAAAGTTTTCATAAATTTATGATGCAAACATCAGTGATCTGTAGTGATGCTTCCAACTGTGTTAAAACGAAGAGGTACATATGGAGCTTTTCTTTCTAACGTCAAGAGGTACATTGTCTATTACTTCTTCCACTGAGGAATCCTCTGAACAACAACCTAGAAGTCCATCATAGCAAATATATTAATCCACTATAACTAGAGTACACAAGGAAAACAAATCAAAGATTTGAAGCTTTTAATGTTTCTATGCCTCATTCTTTAAGACAGCTAGCAAATAGAAAAAGATTCCCTAATTAAATTTCGTTTCTATAAGGTGAAAGAGACAAGCAAGCATGTGCATATTTACTTTCTCCATGCTGTAATTGCCTTCATCATTAACGGTCTCATAATAGACTTCATATAAAGAAAAACATGTTACTTGGATTGACTTGGGAGCAGATATTGACACTATAAAATATGGCATCAAATCAGAATAATTTATTATTAAATCAAAGAAATTTTTATTTAAATATCCATATTGAAAGTCTCCACTTATAACCATCACTCCATGCACCACACTCACTGCACAGAACACATTATAGTACAATGGTTTGACATATTTTGAAGGATACCTTGCCAGAGTTTACTTTGTTTCCAACAATGGTTTGACAAGCCAGCCTCCAAGATTCTGGTTTCTGTTTTAAAAAGACAGTTCCAAAGATTAGTAAATTACAAAATTTAGCATCATATCTCCCTCAAAAATACAAAGCGCCTCTTTAAGAAGCAGGTATTAAGGATAAACTACTGATACTTCATAGGAACTTGCACTCGGAATCTCCTTTCAAAATTTATATTTTTCAGTCAAGTCCACCTCTCTGTGAAATCAATTTTGTTCGAGTCCAGTAAAACTACTATGGACAACAAAACTCTTCCTCTGATGACACCATTAAATACTAAAGACTTGAACTTGAGACTAGTTAAACTGGAACAATTTTGTGCTAGTTTCAGTCCTAGGAATGAAATTGCATTAAACACTTGGAGGACAAATTTGCTACTCATGGTAGACTATATGAAAGCCACATGATAAGTTGAAAATGCATTAAATTCAAGGACCAATATTCAAATGACTTTCACAGAGATTAAGAAATTTCTATATTGGCTTAGGATAGGAGACTTCCAATCACTGTTTTAAAAAACATATTTGCATGTTAGAGCAGTGTATGTTTTTAAAGTTAAAAAATCAATTCTCACATTTTCTAATGAAAACACAAGTTTCAATAAAAATATGTGATTAGATTAATTTAGATACACATTTGAATCACATTCAATGGTTGAAAATCAATTTTACTCAATTTAAAACCAAAAAGATACTATATCGGTAAGACTGAATAGTGAATGTCATCCAGTCCAAAATTATTCAATTCAATAACAACAAATTGAGCTATGAGTTTAACAAAGAAAGTGTTCTTGTGTGTCCATGGAAGGGAGAGCGAACATGCCTTTTTAAGATATCTGAGTTCAGTATTTGTTCTTTCATTTAAAAGATCCTTTCCTTCAGTAATCTGCAATAAAAGAATCAATATGCATTGCAATTAGAGATTAATAAGTGAATACTTGGTGAAAAATAGAACTATATTTTGTCATATGAAAAACTCAGGTGATTGATTGACCTAAGACAACATATTCATGTTTCAGTCAAAACTAGAACTACATTTGAGGGTGATCAGAAATTAGATCTTAGAACACTATCTATAGAAAGTTTGATTGAAATTACACACTATGATTAATGAATTAATTGATTTCTAAATCAGTATAGTTCTAAGGAATTTTCTAACAAGAATTAAATTGTAAAAGAATTAAAGTATTTTATTTTAGAGATTTCTGACACATTGTTTAAAGCACTTGCTAGAAGTTGTTCTCAAACATAAATCTTCCAATTTAAACAGAGACAAAGAAACATATTGTAAGAACTATAGTAATAAGCGAAAGAATGCACAGAGATATGTTAAGATGACAACACAATTCCATGTACCTCTACAATGCAAGTTCCGCAGCTACCACCTCCCCCACAATTCATCACCTTCCCCTGTTGAAACAGTTAAACTAGTTTTTGCAGAAGCATAAATAATAATAAATGTTTTTTTTTTAAATGTAAATCACTTATATCTTTCACAGATGATAACTATCTGAATCTGATAGAACCGTTATCAACAACAATACAACTATGTTAAATACTTGATAAGGAATTTTGTTACAGTAATCATATTAGGCTGGAAAATAATTATATGTTAAAATTTTCTTTTCATTCCAAAGAAACTTTAGTTTAAATTTTTTATTTCTTATTTTCTATTAATGAGTAATTTTGTCCCTAACGTTATCATAAATCAGTTAAATGATAACATGTAATTTAGCATTGAGTTAAGAATTTGTCACATTATTACTTATTAGATCTATAATATCTGTGCCTATTTTAAAGAATAAAGATATGAAAAATCTCAAATTTTATAGAAATAAAATTTTTTTATTTACAGAAAAATATTTAAATTTAATAACAATATAAAAAAAGAATTCGGCTCATAAGTGTCTTAATACACGTTATTAAATATATTAATCCCATAAAAATTATTAAATATCTTACATTTGTCGTGAACAAGTAAAAATGAGCAAGAACACATGTTTTCGCCTTTTTGATAAATTGTTAAATTAATTCTCGAGATTGTATAAATCGGTAATAATAATCCTTAAAATTTTTAAAAAATTTAGGCAATTCTTAACTTTGTAAAAGATAATTTATTTAAATAATTTATTTTTCACTAATATTTTACACAAAAATATTAAAATCACTCATGTTTAACAAAATTAAGTGCTTGTTTATTTAAAAAAAAAGAAATTTGCAAGAGAAAAAGTACATAGCAGTGGAAAAACATGTTAGTGTGGATTGGGAGCATGTGGTATGAGACATACATAGGTGGCATAAAGTTCGATCTTGTTATCCAACATAATGTTCCTCAGAAGCTTCTCTCCGCTAATTGCTTTCACTTTATCCACTGGGTACGACCCATCGTTCTCCGGTTTTGGCTGCAACAATTTCACACTTTTCAACATCAATCATCATAATTGTATCTACTGCATTAGAACAAAGTGAATAAGTGAAATTTGATTTAAGCTAGGTAGCATTAATTGAACTATACCCCTATGAACTCCAGCTCTATTTCAGGAGGAGATTCCGGCGAATTGGCGGCGGAAAGGACTGAACTGGATCGCCGCCGGGGAAAATAGGTGGTCGGATTCCGGCTGCCGGCGGTGAGTGAAATGGCGGGGAATATATTCATGGAAGCCATTCTCTTTTGTGTTATGGTTTTGTGTGTGTTTTCAGTAATCACCTTATGAATTAATTACACTGTTCCGTTTTCCTATTGATGAGATTGCGGCTCTAGAACTCGCTCGTTAGTCCCCCAAGAAATAACGATTTGTTATTTTGTAATTTCTCTTAAATAAAGGAAAATTCTAAATTGTAGATTATTATACAATATTTCTTTATAGTTTTGTATAGACTTTAATATGTCTTCAATCTCTATATTTTATTTATATATTGTAGTGATTTTTTAATTTTAAAAACTGACGTTTGAGAGTTTTAATGAAGCAAGACTTGTAAAAAAAACATTGTAAGAACCAAAACAAAAAAAAAATTTATTTAAAGAGATTAAAGTAAAAATTGGTTAAAATGTGAGAACTAAAAATAAGTAATTAATATTTTTTATGTACGGTATGAATATTATTGAATAAGATTAATTTATAAAAATGATTAAAAATATACTATATAACTATTTTAAAATTTTAATAATATTTATAAATTAAAAAAGGACAAACATTGTAATTATTAACAATAAATATTTTATTATATATAAAAATAAAATAAATATAAATTTTTTAATATAAATTAATGTTGAATTAAAAAATATTTAATATATAAAAATTTATTTAGAGTGATGAGAAAAATAATCAACTTCTAAAAGTGCTACTATTTGATAAAGTTTTTAAAATTATTTTTATTTAAAAATTTATACTCATAAATTATGTATAAAAGTTGGTTAAAAAAATTAAAAATATATAAAATGACATCAATGATGAAATAAAAAATTATAAAAGATTATAAGAAAATTATATAACTTTTAAATATTTGAAGGTTTAAATGAACAAAAATGCTATATTATTAAATATAATATTTTTAATTAAATTTATATAATATATCCGTTGACAGAAAAAACATATGAAATATTTTTCAAGATTTTTTAAAAAAATATTTGAATATATTCATTTTAAACTTTTTTTACTTAATTTAAGGTAAAATTTATGATATTCCTTTTAATTGAGATCATGAAGTTAGTGATTTAATTAAAAAAAAAACATTAATATCCTCTCATATTTAATATATTAAAAAAATCACAACCGTTAATCTAAGAAGAATATAAAATATCCTTACGAGTATTACACAAAGCACTCCAGTGAAATATATTATTGCTTTCATGATATCACTGATTTTTGCAAAGGCCCACTAAGGCCGACCCAAAAATTTTCTAAGCAAGTATGCGTCCTGTCCATCACAAAGTTAATTTGATATTCTTTGTTTTTTTCTTTGTCAAAAATAATTTTATACATGCTTTAAACGTAAAAAAAAGTTTAATTGGCCTAATTTTTTTAAACATTTTAATCTTGATTTTCTTTTAATTCTTATGTTTTTGTTAGTTAATAAAGTTTTACCTTACCAAATAAGTGAAAAAATTCATAATTAAAAACTTTAGCAAAGTCTTAGAAAAGCAACAAGTGAACAAGAAGTTAAAATTTTATATTGTGAAACTTTGCATGAGTTACATAAAATTTTATGTATAAACACAATTTCAAAGTGTTAAAAGAGGATCTATTGTTATGTAAGTTATGTAGATACTAAAGTTTTGTATAACACAGATAAATATTGCACATAATTTATGTCTAGGGCTTGAGTCACAAAATTTTTAAAGAGTTAACGTAATTATAATATAAATCATATTTAAGTAATGTAATTGAGGCTCTTTTTCTAACCTTTTTCTCTAGTACAAAACATTTCTTTAAATCTATTGTATTTTCTCTCAAATAGTTTTGTACAAATTTCAGATTTTGAAGAATTAAATTCTATCAAGCTTTATAGAGTTTGGTTTTTTGTTTTTAGTTTCTTCTCTTCATACATATATAATTTAGATCTAAATTCTCTTCTGTTGTAATAGAAACAGAAATGTCTAATTCTATTTTTGTTTAAGTAAATTACACAAAGTTTACTTATGAAAATTTATATTTACTTAATTATTTGTTTAAGTGAATTATCTTGTACTAAAAGATGAACAAAAAATAAATAAATATCACAAACAGAAATAGTCACATGCAAACTTAAAAATCAAAACTGCATTTCCATTACAAAAGAGTTGTCATGTTTAATGGAAGAAGAAGGTTTAAGCATCAAAAGCTTTGCCCTATCACACACCTACGATGTTCAACCCTTAAGTAACCTGTATTTGAACCCCCATCATCAGCTATGAATCCCATTCAAGAAATCCTGTGTTGAAGAATTTTTTTGTTGGATTTCACTATAATGGGTTTTGGAAATTTACTTATGTTTCTACGTTACCTTTTATTTGATATCTCCATTATTTGACAGTGAATAAAAAGAAAATAATCGCTTAAATAAATTTTACATTACTTTTGTGTCTTTTTGTAAGATTTGCTTAAGTAAATTTTAATTTGCTTAAATAAAAATGGAATAACAGAAAATAATTCAAATCTCTATAATTAGTAACTAAAATTCTTGTGTTACGGATGAAGTAATTTAAATTTTATATAAATTAATTTCTTCTCTCTTCTCTCAATTGGTGTGATTACTTTTCTTTTTTGGATTGTCCATCTAGGAGAGAATTTGAGATGTAAATACATGGTTGAAAAACTTGTATTGATTTAGAATTAGAGTAACAGTTGAATAACTTATATTCAAAATAGAATTTAATTGTTGAATGATGTTTGATGATTTTTTTGAGTATAGCTTGCTTGACTTAAAATTATCCAAGAAATTGAAGATTTTAATTTAAATGAATTTGAGTTTAGAAAGAATTTGATACACATAAAATAAAATAAAAGTTAAAAGAGTTTTAATTCTAATATTTATTGTTATTTATGTATATTAAAAAATATAGAAAAGCCACTAAAATTATATTATTATACTAGGCTAATAATAATAATAATAATAGCATATAGTATATATTTTGATAAATCTATCTATAATAAAAAATAATAAAAATACTTTAAAATATATTTATTTTAAAAATGGTCAATTTTTTATTTACAAAAATAAAAAAAAGTTTAGTTAAGCAGTAACATAAAATAATTCATTAAAACTAATTTTACGAGTTTTTCTTTTTAATTTCAAATATCAAGACTCAACTAAAATCATTCTCTCAATCAATTTAAACGAGAGTTATCACATTATTTAAAAACTGTATTATTTATTTAATATTATATTTTCATTATTCCTCGTCATTGTATTAATTATATTTCTACATATTTTTATCTCTCTTTATTTTATATATTTCAAACCTATTCATTTTAAAATTAATAAAATTTTTACGCTTTTAAACATAATTAAAATTAATAATAAATTTACTTAAAATTAAAACGACTCGTCGTATGGAAGCATCTCTTTCCTTGCGTCACATTCAATACTTCACTCACTGCTTCGAAGTTCCGAGTTCCAACTTCCTAACGCAATGCTCTCTCGCTCTCTCAAACATAGTCACACACTTTTCTTCTCCCTTCGCTTATTGCCGTTTACGCTCACACCAAACTCTATCCCTTCAATTCGGGTCTCACCACACCGTTTCTCTTCTTCTTCGTCGAATTCATGGCTTTCCCTACCCGGAAACCCAATCATCCACTGGCCCTCACTACCCCCAATCACCCAACCGGAACCAAAACCCGCTCCAAACCCGAATCCAAAACCCGACCCTGCTGCTTCGGACCCGAACTTCTCTGCCATTGCCACTCTCTTCACCGACCCTTCCATCACTCCCGGTTCGGTTCTCCACTCCGAACTGGACCGGTCCGGAATCGAACCCGATTCACCTCTCCTTCTCGCCGTGTTCGATCATTTCGACTCGTCCCCCAAGCTGCTGCACTCGTTGTTCCTATGGGCTCAAAAGCGAACCGGGTTCAGGCCCAGCCCAAAACTCTTTGACTCTATGGTCAACGTACTTGGCAAATCGAGAGATTTTGACTCTGCTTGGACCCTCGTTCACGATCACGTCAATGGAAACCAGGAAGAAGGCTTGGTTTCCATTGGTACCTTTACTATCTTGATTCGACGCTATGCTCGTGCAGGTAATGGAAGACATTTTGCAATTTAGGGTTTGAAGTTGTTTAATTTGAATTTGGTGTGTTGCAAGTGATCATGCATTGGCGAATTTTCAATTGCATTGTGTGTATTTGGTTTGATTTTACTTCAGTTTGTTTTCTAAAATTGGTTTCACTGACTGGTGTAAAGTATGATTTATATTTTGAAAATTTTATTTAAAACGTAAACTTGTGAAGTGTAATTATGTTACTAATATAGGTAAGTAACAATATAATAAATTATGAAGATAGTTTTGTTAAAAACAGGTTTAACTAGACCTTTTTTAACCTACAAAATAACAAATATTGTGGCTTTGCGTTTTGGCAGCACGTTCATGCAAATTAGTTTTTCGAATTGATCGCTTTAGATTTGGTATGCTGCAACTTGCAAGTAGAAGTGTAGATTTGCCACTGCATTAACAAATTTTCGTAACTCAAAAAGTGTGTGGGTTTATCCAACCTAAAATTATTCTGTTTATCTGTTTCTTTATGTGGTGAAGAATGCACCTTTTTAAAAATTTTAATTTTTAATTTTTCAGGTATGCCCAAGCCTGCTATTAGAACGTTTGAGTTTGCTAGAAATAACAAGTCCATTGTGGATTCTGGATCAGAAACAACTTTATTTGAGATATTGATGGATTCACTTTGTAAAGAGGGGTGTGTGAGGGAAGCTTCAGAGTATTTCCATAGGAGAAAGGAGATGGATTTAGATTGGGTTCCGTCAATCCGAGTTTATAATATTATGTTAAATGGATGGTTTCGATCAAGGAAACTCAAGCAGGGTGAGAGACTTTGGACAGCGATGAAGGAGGAGAGTGTGAGACCAAGTGTTGTGACATATGGTACCCTGGTGGAAGGATATTGTAGGATGCGCCGTGTGGAAAAGGCACTTGAAATGGTTGGTGAAATGACCAGGGAAGGAATTGAACCAAATGTAATTGTTTATAACCCAATAATTGATGCACTGGCAGAAGCTGGGAGATTTAAAGAGGCTTTAGGTATGTTGGAGCGTTTTCATGTTTTGGAAATAGGCCCTACTGATTCAACATACAATGCTCTGATAAAAGGGTTTTGTAAGGCGGGAGATCTTGTAGGTGCTAGTAAGATTCTTAAAATGATGATAAGCAGGGGTTTCCTCCCAAGTCCCACCACCTATAACTACTTTTTTAGGTACTTTTCAAGATGTGGAAAAATTGATGAGGGGATGAACCTATATACCAAGATGATTGAATCTGGTTATACTCCAGATCGGCTAACTTACCATCTTCTGGTGAAGATGTTATGTGAAGAGGAGAAGTTGGACTTGGCTGTTCAAGTTAGCAAGGAAATGAGGCATAATGGATATGACATGGACTTGGCGACAAGTACCATGTTAATTCATTTGCTTTGCAAAATGCATAGGTTGGAAGAGGCTTTTGTGGATTTTGAAGACATGATACGTAGGGGTTTAGTTCCTCAGTATCTCACTTTCCAGAGAATGAATTCTGAGTTAAAGAGACAAGGTATGACTGAAATGGCTCAAAAACTTTGCAAGTTGATGTCTTCTGTTCCCCATTCTACCAACCTGCCAAGTACTACTTATGGTGAAGCCAGAGATGAAGAACACGCACGAAGAAAATCTATACTTCGGAGAGCCAAACAATTTTCTGATATGCTGAAAAAACTGTAAGGACCCTAGTGAACTTGATAAGTATAAAAATTTATCACAAAATGTGGTCTCAAGTGCAAACTGTTTGATAGAGGGTAATAATAGAAAATAAAGTACTGGATGAGCATCTGTCATCTCAGTTTCTGCAGGTAGCAAATTATGGACAGTTTGAACATATGGGAACCAGATAACATTTATTGACAGTATGGATTCAGAGGCTTTTGTCCAAAAAGTTTTTCCTGTACTTCCCTATGAAATTTGTAGGCATCACAGCAACAGTAAGTTGATAAGTGAAATGATTTAATATTGTCTACATTGCATGTGCTAACTTAACAGGGTCTTTTGTACAGAAAATAATTTGTGAGCTAAATTGTGGATATTTATAAATGAGAGTAATGCTATGAACACACTCTCTAACACACTTTCCATTGTTGGCTAAAATTTATTGAAAATTAAAAAAGTAAAAAAAAAATATTAATTTAGGAGGGATTAATAGAAGGATTTACATGATTTTGTAGTTTTCAACAAATTTTAACTAATAGTGAAGAGTGTGTTAGAGACATTGTAGGTAGCATTTCTCTTTTGATCAGAAGGTTGGTGTAAATTCTGGAATTCTTTTTGGTTTTTGATAAAAATCCTAGTAATCTTCTGATCGATAAAAAAGAGGGGGCTGCTGAAGTGAAATTTCTGGCCTTATCTTAACTGGCTACCATAAAAAAAAGAGAGCAAATCATAAGAATGGAGACCAACATAGGATTGAACCTCTCATTTGGTGCTTTATAAGAACACATAAGATGTTTTCTTTAAAACTTAAGCTTAAAAATAATCATCAGTCACACCAATATATCCCATAAACCAATAATCCAATCCTCAGAAGCATTCCAAATGAGACATCCAAACCCTGCATGGCTCGACTTATCAAGGCTACTACAATCAACATTTATGGAGAAGAATTTAATTGAAGAAACTTTCAACTAACCCATCTCCCACTCATCCAAGTAATTGTCAAGTCTGCTGCAGCAAAAGCATTTTCACAAAGAACTAGTTGGATATTTGAAACACTTTTTGAGTAAATATAACATTTTGTTAGAAAAGATGATTATTTCTATCAAGCAAAATATGCCAGAGGGAGAAAAGAAAAGGGTCACCAATGTTTTTCGCCCTGTTTAAGATCTAATCTGTTGACCAAAAAAAAAGAGAGATCCAATCTTTACTATCAACTCCAGTTATAAAATTAGCACAATTTGAAGGACCCAATCTCTGTGAAATATCCCATGAGCATAAATCATTAGTCAGTTGCTGGCATAAATTTCACATATGCCTAAGATAATTATTCAGTTGGGCATCATGAAAAATAAGCCATAAGAAGAACTTTATTTTCTCTGACACTTTTAGCTTACAAATCCAAGACCAAGGTCCCAGTTTAGATTTATAGTTGTAAGAATCCAGTACTCCCTCAAGAAACAATATTTCCCATTTAAACTATGGTTACAAATTAGCAAGTGAAGAGTATCTGGCCGCCGGAATATATACATCTTCCAATTTTCTTCTAATATTGACAAAGAGGAGTTCTAAGGGCAGCAACATTCAGTTTATGGTTTTGCAAAATATCGATGATCTTAAGTTGAGAATCACTCATACGGACACGAGATACTTGCGCACGGAGGAGTCCTCCTTCCAACCAATCTGAATACTACAGAGAGGAGTTGCCATTGCCCACACGAATCCTTTTACATGAATTGCTATCATTTAACTATTTATTATTATTCTTATTTAATAAAACATGCAATATGATTCTTTTACATTAATTTAAAAGTTTGCTTAAAATAAGCTTTTTAGATATAATATTAACAAATATTTAATTATCACTGGTGCCAATACGATACAATCACAATTGAACCATTACATTTTGAATCAGTAACATTACTAGTTTGATTTTAAAATTATTAATTTTGACTTAATAATTTTCTCGATAACAACCTTATAAAATATTTTTAATAACTTTTACACAAATGCTAGCCCGTCCCTTTTGGTACTAGCTAAGTAACCAAAATTTTATTTTTTTTCTTTTAGAATTTGATAGTGATTGTGATAATAGATTGTTAGTGATCATGGATTATCCTATATATATTTGAAGAGTGGCAATGTGGAATAAGTTGTATGACATGTTCCTTTCATATCTTTGGTTTTTATCTACTTTTCGTTGTTTGTTGATGGTAAGTAATTTTTGGCACTGGTCTTCACTGCTCAATTGAATTATCAAAGTGGGGAAGGTAAATAAATGTTTATAGACTGCACACAGTTTTTGTCTCGAAAAGTTTACAACACTTTGCAAAGTAAATGGATCATCTGTATATGAAACTTATTTGACCATTTAATGGAATCCATTTCGAATGATCCCTCACTAGAAGCTATGGATATTACACAGGAAATAGATACAACGCAGGTGTTTTTAAAAAATGCAAACAAGTGTCCAATTCCTGATCGCTTATGTATGAAAATGATTTTATTTAGAAAGATAAAATTTACTTCTTAGTTTTAAAGGATTAGTTTCTACTTGTAGGTTAGGAGATATTCTTGGTATATATTGGGGAAAAAAATGATACACATTTCGCATTATAATATTGAGGTGGAAAAAAAATTGGGTTGTCAGACTTCACTAAGTTTGAGCTAATTTTTAAATAAAAAATTATCAACTTCAAGTTTTTTGGTTAATAAAGAGATTTAAGGAAAATTTGTCCCGTCTCTTTATAAAGAAAGAGGTATATATCCACACACACAAGAGGCCCATGTCATATTTCCTAAAATCAAGTTAAACAATCTCCTATAAATTATAATCTCTCCCATAATACCTAAAAAAAATACAACAAATCCCAATAGATTTACTCCCATAATAGAATTGATTCTAAAATTCGAAAATAAGAAAAATAATATACAGAAGAATATACGATACATATCACCGTAATTAATTTTTTTTTGTCAATCTAACTGTTAATAAAGTAACATGTTTATGTGTAGCATTCAGATTAAGTTTTAAATCAATCATATGTAATTTTATAATCAATGTGTGTATTTGAGATCATTGAATTGTTTGCACAATAATCTCGGGGCTTTAAATTCTGGGTCGCTCTCAGTTCTGTGCTCAATCGTTGTGATTTTGAGCTTTTATATATGGCACTAACAAGCTATAGAATATCGTTATTGCTTGCAATTTTCATTCGTTCATAATGATTTTGTCCCATTTAACTTTTTATTTGGCATCTATTAAGTATTGCTTGCGTCATCTGTTAATGAGCTTTCTTGATTATTTACAAGCACTTTAGATGCTACATTTCTTCATCGAATTTGTGCGTATGGGGCCAATTGTATTTGCTAGTGCTATTTCATTTCCATTAAAGAAGAAAATAAGGCACACGAACGAAAGAGGACAATAGAATTCATGCTTACTCTTTTTACAGGAATAATTGATAACAATCATTTTGTTTGTACTAACTTTATTTGATGCATATTTTTGTCCCGTGTTGTTTGTTGTCATTTGGAGTACTGTGATAGCTTCTTTTAGTCACTTTTTTTAGTTATGTCATGTGGATAATAAAGAGTAAACTAACAAATAGGTTTTTAAGATAAACAAAGTTAGGCATACAAATTTCTAACTTTTTAAAAAATGTGTAAAGTAGTTAAGTTTCTTATATTCATAAATAATTAATAGATGTGTGAAAATAGTTAAAAGAGTTAAGCATATAAGTTTTTAATTTTTTAAAATTATATTGTTAATTTTTCATATCATAGTGTGTCAGATAGTTAGGTCTCTTGTATTAATAGATGTGTAAAAATAGTTAATTTTTATTGATTTTAAAACATTAAGTGACATATGTAATATTAAATTGACCCTAAATAATAGACCTTCATCCTTAATACTAAGAGTCGTCTCTCAACAATACTGTAAGACCTAACTTTGGTGCTACCAAGACGAACATCAAATTAGTGTCATTTTCACTGCCATCATTAATAATGATGAAAAATTTATAAGGTTGTCATATTTGGGATGTTAAGAAGGAAATGAAGTTGAGTCCTACTTTGGAACCATCATGAACTGCCACAAAATTTTGGTAACCAACTATTGCATTTACATAAAAGCCATTTCCTTTCCCAAATAGATTCAAGGACTAGCTTGAAAAACCAAAAGCATGAATAAAATCTCCTAACACAAACATCTACTTCTTTGATTCAACCTCTGTTCTTATTATTGTATACATGTGATATGTCACCGTCATCTATTATTTACTGCTTCCTCGTCGCTCATAGAAGGATAAAATTTCATACTCTAGCATCATCTGTTGTTTACTGCTTCCTCTATTTACTCACTTATCTTCTTCACAACCTCCTTTTTTACTTGTGAGTTCTTTCACATTACAAAAAAAAAGAAAAGAAAAAAAACTACACCGGCCAACACCATTAACATTGAGTAAAATGTTGTTTTGAGGACAATCCTCAAAGTTATAAGTGAAGGCGTTTGTTTTAAACCCAAGAACCCAAGTTAGTATAACACATGTCACGTTAAGTGACATATTGACAAAAATTAACATATTTTACTGTATATTCATACAATTGACATACTATATTAAAAAAAATTAACGAGATAATTTTAATAAATTAAAAATTAATATATTTGACAAAAATTGATTTGTGAATTTAGTTAAATAATAATATTGAAAGTAAGATTTAGGGATCGATACCTAATATAATTGTGGTGGTAAATATTTGATATATCTGTGCTTATATTACCGACTATGGTGTGCGATAATTAATCGTTTAATTCGGAATTATTTTCGGTCCAAACTTTTAGGTGTTTAATATGCCAATGGATAGAACCTAATGATTGCCAAAATTCTTTAATCGTTCGGAGTCTACTAAAATATGTCAACAATGTATAAGCGTTGGACTTATAAAGCATATGATTGTTGTCTCATTTAATGGAAGAACTATTGAAGATTTATTTTCAGAATTATGATGTAAAGTAAATTTGTTTTATGCAATTGATTGGTTTACCATTTGGTTTAGTCTCATAATAATTTGGTTTGATGGGTCATGGGAAATAGTTGAGTCTTTTACTACCACTAAACATTCTAAGTTATTTTAATTTTCTCTGTTTGATTCTATTTAAGGTTTCTTCCTGTATTTGATTAACCTCTTTCCTTTTTTTTATACCATTTTCTTCGTTCTTTTGTCGTTTTGAAGCTTTCGAGATGGAGCCCATTCCAA